TATCTATTTTATATACAGTAGTTAGTATCTACCAATATCAAACTCTTTATTTATCCCATCCCACCCCATTTCCCTCTAGTAATCATAAGTTTGCTCTCTCTGTCTGTGAATCTGTTTCTGTTTTGTGAGTAAGTACATTTGTGTCTCTCTTTTTTTTTTTAGAGTCCACCTGTAAGTGATATCATATGGTATTTTTCTTTCTCTTTCTGGCTTACTTCACTTAGAATGATGATCTCCACATCCATCCATATTTCTGCAAATGGCATGATTTTATTCTTTTTTATGGCTGAGTAGTATTCCATGGTGTTAATATACCACAACTTCTTTATCCGGTCATCTGCCAATGGACATTTAGGTTGTTTCCATGTCTTGGCTTTTGTAAATAGTGCTGCTATGAACATTGGGGTGCATGTGTCTTTTCAAATTAGAGTTCCCTCCAGATATATGCCCAGGAGTGGGATTGCTGAATCACATGGTAAGTCTATTTTTAATTTTTTAAGGAATCTCCATGCTGTTTTCCATAATGGCTACACCAAACTACATTCTCACCAAGTCCATTTCTTATGCACCTGATTTCTCAGCATCTTACATAGTGTGGGACACGCAGTGAGTTGGGCATTAAGTCTAGGGAATGGTGTGAAAGCTGTAAACTGCAGTAAGAAGGACTTATGTCTCCTATCAGACAGATCTAAGCCTTAATGTCCCAGCAACGCTCTTTCCCTTTGGCGCTTGTGATCTCAGCCAGCTGACTTCATTTCTTTGTAGGGGTAGGAATCATATAGTGTTTGAATGTTAAATTGCCCGTAACAGCTGTGTCTAGATTACGCATAATCTGCATTGGGACAAGAGTTTCCCTGAGATTAGCAGTAGTTTTGCTGAAAGTCTTTATTTTTCTCTGCTTGATTTCTTCTCATCTTTTTCTCCTTTTTTTTTTTTTTGGTCTATAATTCTCAAGTTTGTTTACTCTGTGAGGTAAATGGAAACTAAAGACTTTAAGAGAAACACAATTACTTCCTAAATCTGTATTAAAAGATAAACTTGTAGCTTAAAAAAAAAAGCATCCATCTTCACAAAATTGGGAATGTTGTTCACTTTTTAAGACCGTTTGAAATTCTCAGCACTTTAAAACTTCTTCAGAGCCTAACGGCAGGTGTCTTTTAGAGTGGCCTGACGAATTTGAATTTCAGGAGACTAATTTTCATTTAAAAACTGCCTGAGAATGAGGGCCCACCTACTCATTCTCACAACTCAGCTGAATTCCGTCCCATCCTGAGTAGCACAGCCCAGGCCACATACCATTCCTTCTATTTTATACTAGAGGGTAAGAGCTTCTTAGTGAAAAATCCTTTCTGTGGGTTTTGCTTATCGCTCCTTCTCTATAGAAATCTGAAAATAACCTGAGCCCTAGGCTGGGTACACACCT